AATTTAAGCTATTTTATTTCTCTAACTCGGTAACAGGGTTATATTAAACTCTAACTGTCTTTTTAGTGATTAAATTATAACCAGATTATTTAAAATTTATCGGTTGGGGGTTTAGCTTTAGTTTTGGCTATATTATCTGTCGATAACTCGCCACATTATGAATCTCTTCTCATGCTCCTAAGCGTGCGTTAGGCATATCTGGAAATGTGAACTTTTTGGCGTTAGAACTAGAGGGTTTTTGGATGTTCGATGACCTGTGACGCTTCTTACGGTCTTGTGACACAGGACGGTAAGAAGCGTCACAAAATTGTTTTAAAAAATTGATGCATAAAAAAAATTTCTTCGTATCTGTACAGGAGAATGTTTAATATTTTATTTTGTTGAACTAATATGTTTTTGAATTTTTAAATGTTGCCATATTTGTTTTGCTAATTTTGAAAATGCTGTCTAATATTTCAGGATGTTTTTCTTAGTTTGATCAGCAGTTTCCCTGTGTTATGATGCAACTACATTGTAAAAGAAACTTTCACTATACCAATCGGCATAATACTGGGTGTGTACAAATTAAAAATGCACTGCTTAAGTATTGAAATAATTTAAAATAGCATTTACTAAAAATACTTTAAGAGCTCAAAAGTATTATCCCCTATACTTAGGGCTACGGTGTTATTGAAGTTGCTATGAGCAAGGGATAAATATTCATTTATTGTTCTAGGTTTCATAATAATCATAAATAAAACCATATTGAAAAAGAAAATGGCATGATTTAAGGAATCTAATTTCGAAAACCATCAGAGTGTGATTATAAATAAGTGGATTTCATTGTATATATATATTTATCATTATAATTATTATTATAATTACCATTATCATTATTATTATAATTATCATTATTATTATAATTAACATTATAATTATTATTATAATTAGCATTATAATTATTATTATAATTATCATTATAATCATTATTATTATAATTATCATTATAATCATTATTATTATAATTACCATTATCATTATTATTATAATTATCATTATTATAATTAACATTATAATTATTATTATAATTATCATTATAATCATTATTATTATAATTACCATTATCATTATTATTATAATTATCATTATTATAATTAACATTATAATTATTATTATAATTATCATTATAATCATTATTATTATAATTACCATTATCATTATTATTATAATTATCATTATTATAATTAACATTATAATTATTATTATAATTATCATTATAATCATTATTATTATAATTACCATTATCATTATTATTATAATTATCATTATTATAATTAACATTATAATTATTATTATAATTATCATTATAATCATTATTATTATAATTACCATTATCATTATTATTATAATTATCATTATTATAATTAACATTATAATTATTATTATAATTATCATTATAATCATTATTATTATAATTAACATTATAATTTTTATTATAATTATAATTATCATTTTAATAATTATTATAATTATAATTATCATAACATATTTATTATTATAGTTACCATTATAATTATCATAATATATTTATTATAATATATTAATTATATTTATTATTATAATTATGATTATAACAATCATGATATATTTATTATAATATTTATCATAAGTATAAATGTATAATCTGAACAATAGTCATTACAAAATAGCTAAGTAAGTTGGCTTTCTCATTGAAACCAGAAAAAAGTTCAAGCGGACCAAATATCATGAAATAAAAACTACTTTTCGTGGAAATCATACAATACACCTTAAAATTGCTGTTGAAAATATCTCAAGGACAAGCAATGGAAAGAACGAAATACCAAGTAAAATTGATCATCTACTGTTAAACTTTATTGTCGTATCGATTTTGTTTAAATGGCTATACGTTTCAATCAGAGTTTCGTTGAACGAGTTTAGTTTTGTCAGGAAAAATAATGCACTTAAACGTTACTTTTTATCTATAATGGGTTCTTATTGGAAACAATTTTTAATAATTCGTCATGCCCTGATAATAAAAGTGAGGTTTATGGTAACTGTCTTGAAACTACCTTTTATTAAGTGACTTGTCAGAAAAAGGTTGGTGAGAGATTTCATTATGTTTTTATTTTTCAGAAATCTGAGATAAATCAAAAGATGACTCCAGAGAGCCCGCTTCCCAATGAGGGGATATAGGCTATGTGATATGGTAGGTGATATAGGCTGATCTATACGAATACCCCACCCGGTGCGCACCGACCACAGTGCTGACATAAAATATCCATAACAGTAATGAATTTTTTAGCAGATAATGACTATTTATTAAAATTTTAATTGTTTCTTATTTCACATGTTTATTTTTTTCTCTTTGTCTTTTTTCTTCTTCTTAATTCACTTTCAGTTAAAAAAAAAGTTTTTTTAAATTTTTTTTTTAAATTTTTTTTTTTAAACATCATGTTAAGTAGAAAATTTTTCATTGTAAACAACCATTCCTAAAGATTTCTTTGTAAAATAATGAACATCATCATGTTATTTTCCTCCTCTGATGTGTATATTATACAACCTAGCACAGTCTCAGTGAGATTATTATGTAACAAATTCTACATATCAGTGAGATTATTATGTAACAAATTATACATCACTGTATTTATACACTGTAACTATTTATATACTGCAAATATTGTCTTGTACATTTCAAAATTAATACTGCTGACTGGACCCGTTCCTTGGCTGGAGCTGGACTAGTGGCCAAGTCCTGGACTATATTAAGGATTTTGCATAACCTAGGTACATGCTTAGAGCTTGGAGTAAAGAAAAAAAAATCCTCTTGTCGTCAGGCTTACCGTGGGAGGTTTTCGTGACTTTCCTCCCCATGTAACACAAATGCGGTGATTTCCATCAATAGGTCCTCCGGGAATCTTGTGTAAATTTAAAATGGTTCAGTGGTTCAATGACGTTTATAAAAAAATAAAATAAATAAAATCCATTAACCAGTTTACATGAAAGCATTTGAAACGATAACAAATTCTGTATCCAAATATTTGAATGTAATTATAATTGAATGTATCCAATATGTATGTATAATTGTATCTGTTTTGGATACATTCAATTATACATACATATGTATCCAATATGTATGTATAATTGAATGTATCCAAAACAGAGAAGCGTGCATGAAATAAAACTTTTAGAGGCAGAAGGTGTTTGCATTTTATTTTTCAGACAATGCGCAAATGCTACGAGATGTTACTCTTCGATTCCCCCTTATAATTTTATCAACTCTAATATTTGATTCATTAGAGATTCACTTGTCATGGGTTTAAGCAGATTCAATATTGATGAATGTCATTCACAAAAATCTTTAAACCTTTCGCTTTTAGCCATTTTTCTAAGAAAGTGTTTGGAATAAACATAAACTAATCAATGTTCGAATTATAAGGGCTTTGGTGTCCTCAGGAAAAATGTCCGACTTCGATTCCTGGAATTTTAAACTTAAAGAATACAACTCTGGCTCCTTCATACATGTAAACATATACACATGTGTTATAGCTTATTTTTTAAACATAAAAGAAGTTATAGATGCTACAGAAAAAAATGTATGGCCCAGCAGATAATTTATATTAATTAGCTTTTATTATGAAATGGAAAAACTGGCATTAATAATTTCTAAGAAACTATAAGGCGTTTACAGGATCTTCTTTGATCAAAGAAGATTCAATAAGAAAGATTTGATAAACTTCTGAGTTGAGAATATATTTTCCTCACTAATTTGAGTAGGAAGAGTTGTTACTGTTAAGGCTACTTCTCTTAACTTTTCAGGATAGATTTGTATAAATTCTAAAAGAGGTAGTTTGCAAGATTGACCATATTTCTCCATTTCTTTCAAGAACTGTGAAGAAACATTATTAGAATATATTTTTAATTTTATGTCTTAAGACTCTTGGTCCTTTATTTTCATTCACTTTGTCTTAGCCTCTTCGATATTATCCAAATATTTTTAAAAATCTAAAATTCATCATAAAAAAGAAGAGGACATAGACTCAGTTTCAATGTCTGCAATCTGACTGTCCTGATTTGAAAACTCCAATTTTATTCTATAACCGTCGTTGAACAGCCGACCTAATTTTGAGTTTACAACCACCACTGTGTAACTCCGTAGCCTTGTAACTTTGAACCCAATCCAGAAGGCAAGGGAACTCTTAGATCAGGAATTGGGAGAAAATTTGTCTTCGTGGAGAACTTTTTAATGGAACTATCCCGCATTTGTGCTACTATGCGGACCACCATGAGGAAAACCAATTGCGTTACCATGAGGAGGAAAACAACAAAAACATCCCACGGTTTGGCTGATGGCAAAGGGGATTCTAACCCATGATCCATCTACCACTCAAGATATTTTTACGTCAGCACTGTGGATGGTGCGAGCCGGGTGCGGAATTCGTATCGACCATCCATCGCTGGGATTCGAACCGCCGGTTCACCACATTGGAAGGCGAACGCTCTACTGCCACCACGAAATACTCCAATTGGTCTAAGTATAATTTCATTTTTAGCGAAGGTTCATAGATGCTTTCTTTCGTCATTAAGCAAAATTCAAACTGTCCAATAAAATCTGGAGTCGCAGTCGAAGTATTTTTAGCGACTTCATGACTATGACTCTTTTTACCGCAAAAACCGCCTAACTCCGATTCCGACTCCACAGCCTCGAGCGTTACGCTCGCCTTCTGCTACTATCAAATTGAACAACGGCAAGTTGACTCAAAATCTTAAGGAAAAAAAATACTCTCTTAAAAATGCTTTAATGCTCGCCTTAAAATGCTCTCTTGTGTACAGGATTAATCAGTTGTGTGCAATCAGCGGGGCATTGATCTAACCTAAATTTATGACAATCTGATATCGATACTGTAAGCCTGATGCGTGCTTACTATCTATTTGGGCAACCTTTACACATCAATGATGTTTGAAATACTATTTTTCTACTGAAATAAATGATAAATACTTGCCTCCTAAGCTGAGTTCAACTGCAGATTGTGCTGTGTCTTGATCGTTGTATGCAATGCATTGGTACATACCACGATCTTCTCGTTGTACCGGATCTATTCTTATCACTTCCCGGGATAACTGACTTACTCGACCGTCTAAGGATAGCACGTCGACATCTTTCCTCCAATGCACGCCATGGATTGGGTGTCCCGATACTGAGCAGTTGATTATCCATGGTCGACCGACGTGTATCTTTTGAACCACGGGAGACATCGATGTTGACAGAGGAGCTGAAAACATAAATAAAAATAATTATTAAGAAAATGTCATAAGCGTTATGGGGAAAAATATGATAGTTACAATTTAAAAGCACTCATATGTTGAGACCATGTTATCGTTAATAGTAAGTGTGGTATACTTTGTATTCGATGAAAACATTTTAACACTAGAAAGACTGAAACTTAGTATATACCTATATTGCCCAATAGCAGTGAAAATAAATGGACTGTGAAAGTATAAATAATGTGAAAAGAAATTTGGTTAAAATTAATTTTTATTTTTTTTAATATTATTTACAGTTATATAACAAGTTATTAGTAAATATTAACACTAGAAAAATTATATGTTGTACAAAATGTNTTCAAAAAAGAAAGAAAAATCCTAAAATCTTATGAGGAAAAAAATATTCTTTAAAAAAATGGCGGGAAAATTTATCGAATTTCATTCCGGTTTTTTGGTTTTCCGGTTTTCTGATTTCCGGATAACGGGTTCTGTACTGTAGTTACAATTTAAAAGCACTCATATGTTCAGGACATGTTATCGTTAATTGTAAGTGTGGTGTACTTTGTATTCGATGAAAACATTTTAAGCAAATATGATTCATAAACAGCTCCCATACTATCTAAATTTTTGCATTTTATAAATTTTTATTTTTTTAAAAATTTTTTATTTCTTTGGTTCAGACAAAAAGACCATTTTAAAGCTGTAATACTGTTTAGTCATTATACTACAACTATTATTATTTTTTTTTAACAAGAACAACCTTAATTTTTTTTTAAAAAGAACTATTACATTCCCTTAAATAAAACTCTTACTTTGCAATCCTTAAATCGTATTTCAATAATGATAATAATAATAATTTCGAACGATCACGTGATTTTTTCGCACGATAACGTAGCGTGATGTTCGTGACGTAACGGGAACTCATGTAATTATGGAATTACTCCCTCAGTCAAGTATTATCTCTCGACATCCTGCATCATTATTTCGTTTCCTACTTTTTAAGTAAGCATTACTGTAAAGCATTCAGTACTTCAAAAAACTGAGCTTTTCAGTAACATTAAAATTTTACTGTAAATCATGTAAAACAGTGTCTAGAATAAAAGCAATAGAACGCCATAGCAGTTTTTTTAATACACTTTAACTTCACGATCGGTTTTTCGACACTTTTATCTGAACTTAATCTCACGGATAGATGGCAGCACCACTCATTGGCGGAGCCATTTCCTCAATTTAGACATAGATTTTAAGGAGAAGGAAATTTTCTACAGATCCCTGTACTCAGCTGCTCAGCAACAAAGCACTGAACGTTTGATTTCACTGATTTTATGAGCAGTAGATTTTAAGGAGAAGGAAATTTTCTACAGATCCCTGTACTCAGCTGCTAAGCAACAAAGTACTGAACGTTTGATTTCACTGATTTTATGAGCAGTAGATTTTAAGGAGAAGGAAATTTTCTACAGATTCCTGTACTCAGCAACAAAGCACTGAACGTTTGATTTCACTGATTTTATGAGCAGTAGATTTTAAGGAGAAGGAAATTTTCTACAGATCCCTGTACTCAGCTGCTCAGCAACAAAGCACTGAACGTTTGATTTCACTGATTTTATGAGCAGTATATCGCATGTTCTCGGATCTTAGCGGAGTTGAGGATTGAACTACGGCCACACCGGACCGAGTCTGATTCGCTAACCACTGGGCTACCACGGCCAGTCAGAATTAATTAAATCTTTTATTAAAACGTATATGTGTTTCGATGTCATATAGGTACACCTTTATAAGAAGGATAAATCAAGATACAACAGGTGTTACGTCAAACTAAAAAGATAAATATGTAGTTAAAAGTAACAACAAGTCTTAAGTTAAAAGTAACGAAAGTCTCAACAATTGACAGTAAGTGATGAAAAATTTAAAAAAAATTGCTTTGCAAATATTTGAAAAATATGGCACAGCAGCAAGGTCATTAACCACTTGGCGCAGAATTCTTTTTGAACAACTTTTTCATACTTTTTTCATTATTCCGTGAAAATTTAGGTCAAAAAGGTAAAAATAAATAAAAAAATATATATTTAGCATTTTAATAATCAATGTTTATGAAATACAGCATGGAATATTGGTGTCTTTTACTACGTTAAAGGTAAAAATCTTACAAACACGGTTTACTTACAAACAATCATTTTTCGAATTTGCTTTCGTTTGCAGTTATTTAGGTCGAAAAAAAACCAGTTCATCATTAAAATTTCTTTCATTTACAAAGACAGTTATTGATAAATGTTTGAATATGAATGAAAAAAAATTTTTCAAACTTCTTTTTCATATTTTAGTACAAATATAATTCCGATAATCTAACAGAGTTTTTTTTATTATCTATTAGGCTGTTTTTTTATAATTAAAAATCACTTTTATTAAATTTAATTTTTTTAATGAGATTTATTTATTTTAAAATTGCATTTATTAAAAAATTTATTATAAAAATTATTTATTTAAAATAATTTTACTTAATATAATAATTATTTTTTATTGAATTATCTATTTAATATAATAAATTTTAATAATAAATATATAAAAATTATATATTTATCATAAAAATTTATTAAAAAATTTGCTTATTTTATTGAGATTTATTTTTGCTTGTATTTACAGCGCCAGAAAAAAATATAAAAGGGACACAATTGTCCCCATCTGTGTCAAAGGGTTAACAAGCAATATTTTGTATCACCATTTATCTGTTTAATCAAGGTTACATCGTAACTCGTATAATATTTTTCTATTTCTGATCTTTAAACGATGTTTTTGATGGAATATTAGATTCGCAAAGGATTACTCTTGTACTTTTATGAAAATAAATTGCTTTTTGAAAATTTTACTTCAATTCTTTTCATGTTTGATGACGAAAGGGTTTTGACATTTAAAAACAACTTTCATAATTTTTCCAGCATAAACATAAACATGCTCACTCTCCCAAAGGTAATTTCTTTCTTTTATCACACAAACATAAATCCCCCACTAAGGCAAAGGTACTTTTGAGTTTCTGTGAGAGCGGTTTGGAAAAGAGCTTATGGTCGGGCTCAGCCGAAATGGAAGAAAAAAAGTTATTCTTATGTTTTCATGATTCATACTCAGTCGAATGTTTTAGCGGAAAAACACAGTTTATTCCGAAGAATTTAAAAAAAAATAAAATAAAAGATAAAGTTTCGAATTGAGCGTAAAATAACAATGTTTATGCTTTGAACAAAAGAATTTCTTTTGAGAAGAGAAACATTTTCGAAATCCATATCATATATATTTTTTGAAAAATGGGAACATAAGTTGTTTCCGAAACAATTTCGTTTTTGATAAATATTCCACATATTTGAAACATTTTTTTTTCAATCGTAACTTATTAAACTACTCTTAAATTTAAGTTTATACTAAATTCATGCTTGCAATATAAGAAAAGAATTTTTTTTTCATAAGTACCCAGGTACTGTAAGTTTCAAAAGTACTGTATCCAATTTTTTTTAACCTCCTATAATTTCTAATAGAGCCGCGAGAGCTGAATTTAGCGGCATAAAACAGCCCTTGCAAAGGACTTGGGTTCAATCCCCAATTGTATTTTAAAGCCCACCCAGCTTCATGTCAATGCACTCTCAGAAAGATTAATCTGCGAAGGGACCAAGGGTGTGCGGTATTGGTACTCGTTAAACAGTTCTACCGTATCGAACTCCAGAAGCGGGGGTGTGAATGAATCAAAATTGTGATGGCATGTCTTCAGATCATCGTCAGGGATGTTTCTTAGATCGTCGCCAATAGCCCATTGAGCAGCTCTAGTGCAACATAAATGAACAACAATAACAGCACTCTAAGGAATAAAACTATCACTTTTGATAATTCAGCAATCCCTGAGAGCTGCATTTCGCGTTAATTTTGAGAATTATTTCGTCACAATATCACTTGAATTTTGATGAAACGCAAACTCTAAAATGTATGACGAAAATGTTTCCTCAACTCGAAACCTCGTCGTAAGATACCGTGGGAGAATTAGACGATCGTAAATGATGTAACGACATAAGTCGACCAGCGTGTATGGTGGTGAAAAATTTGTCTATGCAACAGGAAAATCCTGGGTTCGAATCCCGCTGCAAGCACGAGTGTAGTTTGTCTTACCTGTCTTTCTTGTGTTGCGAAGGTGATATTGACCCACCTACATCTTCATGACAAAGCGATTATTAGAAAAAATAGTACATTACACCTTACAAGTATTTTTTTTTTGTTGGAAAAAATAGAATGACTTATTTCTTGACATTTTTCTTATTAGGTCACTTTGACGAAGTGTTTGCTCGGAGTATATACCAGGAAACGGTTTCGTCAAAAACGAAGAAAATTTCTTGACATTTAAGAATTCCATTTTTTCAGTATGTGTACCAGCTTATCTGATAAATAAAGATGACCCGTGTGCATTGCCTGCCCCATTGTCACAACCATGCCGTTGGTCATGAAATTGTGGAGGTTTAACCTTCAAAATTACTCTGGCCTACAACTGGCTATTGCTGGAATGCTTTACTTTTATAATTTCGAATTATTTTCGTGCTAAACAAGCATGCAAAAGTCTGTCGGATTAATAACAATCGCGTCTATAAACGTAGAAGAAAAAAGAATACATTTATTACAATAAATGTAAAACTTTTATTAACATCTAGCACGAAAAAAACTATTGTCGAAGGATAATGTCAAAACGTATTTTAGCTATAATTAATTTATAGAAGTTCTTCATTGCAACAAGCGTATTCAGCACAAAACATCGATGAAAAAAAGAAGTTTTACAAGCTCATTACTGGAAAACACGGGAAAAATGGCAACACGCACTACAATGTTCTCAACACGATTGACATTCAATGCTTTATTGGAAAATGGCTTATTCAAACGAAATTAAAGCAGCTACGATACTGTTCAATTGATATCGTGGGTGGAGACGATAACAGGTGCTTATATTTGAAAAAAATATTAAATAGGAAGCAAGCACGAAAAAATT